GCTCTTTGCTGACATGTGTTCCTTATGTCCTGGAAGCTGATGCCTCACTACTGAATTATTCTGCTGGTTTGGTACAGCCTTGTTCAAGGAGCTTTCTGAGAAAATGGATGTACTTGGATTCCATTCTTATGCTTAATAGATAATTTTTCTAGGTTTAAGGTCAGAAACAGTTTCCCTTCCAAATTTTATTATTTTTTATTTTTTAAAGATATTTCTTAATTATTATTTTTTTTAATTTGAGAGAGAAAGAGCACAAGCAGAGGGAGTGGCAGAGGGAAGGGAAGAAGCAGGCTCCCCATTGAGCAGGAAGCTGAGCATGGGGCTGGATCGCAGGACCCTGGGATCATGTCCTGAGCCAAAGGCAGCTGCTTAACTAACTGAGCTACCCTGGTGCCCCACTTCTGAATTTTAAAAGGTTGGCTCCATTGTTTTCAATTTTCAGTTTCACTATTGATAAGACCAGACATTTTTAGTCTTAATCTTTTGTATCTGATGAAATTTTACCTCTAAAAACATATTTCCCAGGATTGTGATATATCATAATGTCAGGCTTGATTTTTTTTTTTTTTAATCTATTTCCTTGAGTACTTTATCAGTCTTTTCAATTTGAAATTCACATCTCTTAATTTTGGGAAATTTCCTTGAAAATTTAAAAACAATATTCTACTCTCTTTTAAAGGGTTTTGCTCTTTCTGAAACTCTTATTTGAGTGTTAGGTCTCCTTTTGTTTTTTTTTAAGATTTTATTTATTTATTTATTTATTTGACAGACAGAGAGAGAGAGCACAGGTAGGCAGAGCGGCAAGCAGAGGCAGTGGAAGAAGCAGGCTCTCTGCTGAGCTGGGAGTCCAATGAGGGGCTCGATCCCATGGTCCTGGAATCATGACCTGAGCTGAAGACAGCTGCTTAACTGACTGAGCCACTCAGGTGCCTCGAGTATTAGATCTTCTGAACTGATCCTCTAATTTTCTTTTCTCTCCTAATATCCATATATTTGACTTTTTGTACCACATTCAGGGAAATTTCCTCACATTATCTTCCAACATATATTTAATTTCCATTTATTTAATTTTAATTTATCAGAGTTCTCTCTTGCCTCTAAAAAATAATATATTTTAATCAACATTCTATTCTTATTTCATGGATGCAACTTCTTCCCTTTTCTTCCTAGGGATACTATAAAAGTATAGGATAGAGATTCTATAATAGTGGTTGTATTATTAAGACTTTATTGTCCTGTGTGGTTTCTGTTTTCTTTGAGTAGCTTTTCCCCTATTGATTGGTTTTCATAGTTGTCTTTGATATAAAAGGTTTCCATCAGATATCTAGTCATTTTTGCTGTTGGTTCATATTTAAGGATGGACCACCAAAATAATGATTGGAATATCTGCATTTAGAATGATCAACAGTGGACTTTACAAAGTACAAAATGGAATGGGCAATTTCATAGGGAAACCTCTGATCTTATGGTTTATAGGTTTCTCTCTTCAGGCTGTTCAGATTCCTTGCTGAAGACTTTTTAATCTCCTGCCTGGAGTTATTAGCCTATCTTATAAATTTTAAGGCAACAGTAGGGATGAGGGTTAGGGAACTCATTGTTCAAGTATATAATGATTACTTAATGCCCCTGTTTTCAGAACTATACCCTTCTCTCCCTGCTTCATCTGTTCCAGATGGCTTGGGGCAAGCAAGTATTCTGTGTTATTTTCCTGAGAGGGTAAACTGCTGGACTTCTGCTGGTATCATCTAGCTCGCGTGTGTGCGTGTGCGTGCGTGCGTGTGTGGGCAGGAGCACATGCATACACATGTACTCTATTATGGTATATGGAAGGGATATCTGGTAATATAACCCTTGTTTGTTTGTTTCTTAAAGTAGGCTCCATGCTGAGCATGGAGCCCAAGGCAGGGCTTGAACTCACCACCTTAAATCAAGACCTGAGCTGAGATCAAGAGTGGGATGCTTAACCAGCTGAGCCACCCAAGTCACCTTAGATGGGCTTTTTACCAATCTTTTGTATTATCTTCTTTCATTTCCAAAACCATTTATTAGTTAAGTGATTCTGAGCATACTTTGAGCCAGATATTTTTCTATTATCAAATGAAAATATTTCTCATTTCATGTAAAAGTTTCTAGCACAGAGTAAACACACAGTACCCACACTTAGTAAATACCCGAATGTTGCTTAATTTAAATGTAAGTCTAATACAAAATGGTATTCATTGACATTGGATCCCTATAGTCACAAAATGCTCCATATGAGTATGTATTTTAATTATCTCTTTATTTTCTTAGGGACTTAATGTCAATAAAGTCTCCTCAAACTTAGGAAAGTAAAACAAAGTACTCTAGGCATGTATACATGAAGCCTTTCAAGAGTGTGTACATTTGAGAATTATTCCCATTATGCAATGAGTGTCTCCTATTGGCTCACACACCAGTCTCTTCAGTACCTGCAAGGCAAACTATTCTAAACATGTTATTTGCTTTCTATCATTCCAAGCTTACCAAAGTCCTTTTGGAGAGTTATAATACCCCTGTTATAATGAGTGCTTAAAAGTAACCTAAACCAGGAATATTTACTCTACAAATGCCGGTAAATTACTCTGCAAAGTTATGCATAGTTGAAGGTTTTTCTCCTCAAATTCATTAGAATAAATATAATTATATGATTAGCATGAAGTGGATGCCAAGAATGAACTTAAGAAATTTATGAGGTGGGCATCTGGGTGGCTCGGTGGGTTAAAGCCTCTGCCTTCAGCTCAGGTCATAATCCCAGGGTCCTGGGATGGAGCCCCACATTGGGCTCTCTGCTCAGCAGGGAGCCTGCTTCCTCCTCTCTCTCTGCCTGCCTCTCTGCCTACTTATGATCTCTGTCAAATAAATAAATAAAATCTTAAAAAAAAAAAAAAGAAAAGAAATTTATGAGGCAAAAGCATTCTGAGGGGTGGCTAGGAAATGCTGGCCTAATGTCTCAGCTCCACTGAAAAGTGTCCATATTTTATTACACACATTCATTTTAAAGCATTATATTAAACCTGCATTGATGGTCTTTTATGTACCAAACATGGAGCTGTTTGTTGATTTAAAGCAGAAAGTTGGATAAAAATGGGCTTAAAGTATATTCTAGGAGGTTCAACTTCCTACCATACCATGGCTTGTCACATGAAAATTCCTAGGGAAGGCAAGCAAATGGGCTAAGCTACACCCACCTCTCTGCACCACTTACAAATTTATATAAATCCCTAGAAATTATATAACTGGCACCAAGAAAGACCATTTAGTCTTCTTTGAAGTATTAACTGAGTCAAAATGATCCAACCATTGTGTTCAGAATTTACTAGTTAGAATGGAACCCTCATTTACTGAAGCCCCAAGATGGGGCTCAGGCAGGTTCCACATCTTGATTCTCCATGCCCTTCAGGGTTGTGCCTACATTTGATAGCTTCAGTCAAGACTTGTCTATAAATACTGTGCACTCCAGCCTCTACCATTCCTGAAATCTTGAAAAAAATATGGCAATTTGAGTTGTTAAACATGTAGCATATGCAGCTTGTTCGGTAAACTGGCCCGCGGCCCCTCAGGCTCCCTAAGTGAGAGGTCTGAGAAAGGACCTGCTGTGTCAAGTGTCAGAAAGATGATTGACTGACTGAGTGGATATGTGACACCATTTATTTCCCATTATCTAGCACAGAATATACTCCAAAAATATTTGGCAATGATGATGATGATCATTGGTGTTAGCTTGACCCAGGCCCTAGAAAGGTGATTTTTTTCTTTTTTAAGTGGGCTCTGTGTCCAACTAGAGCTCAGTGTAGGGCTTAAACTTCCGACCCTGAGATTAAGACCTGAGCTGAACATGTTGTGATAAGCACTGGGTGTTATATGCAACTGATGAATTGTTGAACACTACATCAGAAACTAACGATGTACTAACTAGTTAGCTAGCTAATTAAAAACTAATGATGTTAGCTAACTGAACATTAAAAAAAAAAAAAAAAGAGAGAGATCAGAGTTGAGATCAAGAGTCCCATGCTCAACCAACTGAGCCATCCAGGAACCACATAGATGATTTAATAAATACTTGAGAAGAAGAAAGTTTCCTTTCTAAGAAATGTAATGGAATAAAACCTATTTTCCTTGGAAAGAAATTGCCCTTTTGTTTTCATGTCACATTCTTTATTACTTAATGATTTACCTTAATATAACACTTTAAAAAATGTATGCGACCCAGAGAATTAAAGAACAGAAACCATGCTAGGAGGATAGAAATTATTCTAAGTTAATATGAACCACCTTTCCTTTCTGTTAGGAACATGAAGCTTGAAGGAGTACTCATTTCTGAGTCTTTTTGTTTTTCACCTTTGTTAAAGAATATCACAGCATTTACCTACATAATGAATGTGCTGCTACTTTTTTCTTTCACAATCCAAATGGTCCCCATTATCATTACAACTAATTAGAGAAGTGATTCTCTTATTGTTTTTAGTCCTGAGAAATGACTCTCCTATCCTATTAGTTCTCAGTTGTAGATGAACTACAAACCAAACATACCAAGATATACAACCTTCCATATTATATGCTACAATTTGTTTGCAGAAATCTATCTGCAGGGATTCCTGGGTGGCTCAGTCGGCTGAGCCTCTGCCTTTGACTCAGGCCATGATTGGGATTGAGTCCAGCATTAGGCTCCTTGCTTAGCGGGGAGCCTGCTTCTCCCTCTCCCTGCCATTCCCCTGCTTGTGCTCCCTCTCTCTCCCCCGTTACAAAATAAATTAAAAAAAAAAAAAAAAGGAAAGGGAAAAGAAGTCTATCTGGAGTTTTGAAAAAATCAGTTGACTAGAAATTTTCAGCACATTTTAAAAACTGCAAGTCATATACTATGTCAAAATTATTTTAATATGGTATATTTCTTATTATTTACAGTTAATTCAGGGCCAGTTTTTTCCACTTTGAAGAGTTGTAATAGTTAATAAAATCAAAGAAGAAGTTAGTCATTGTAAATGCATGAAAAAATTAAAGCCAGGTTGCTGGTTGAATGGTTAAATGATGAACATAGCAATGGGTTTAAGCCCCTTGGCCCACACAGCACTGGGCATGCAGGGGCAGGAGGAGATGAAAAAGGTACCTATTATCTCCTTCCCCATTTCTCTAATTTGCCCCACCTACTTCCTTGCAGGAACTCCCTGTTATCAGTACCTTGTTCACTTTCACTCTATTTCTCTTATGAATCAAATCCTCACTTCTCCTTCACAGAGAATAAACTCATTCTCCTTAAAAAACAAACAAACAAACAAACAAACAAACAAACAAAAAATAAAAAACTTAGAGCTCCCTGGGTGGCCCTGAGGTGTGTGCTGCTTGTCAATGCAAATATGACAGATTAAGAAAAACTTTCACAGGTTTGAGGATTTACAAAACATCTATCTGAAATGCTGTTGTCAACAATCTTTTTTCCATGAGTCAAGACAAATGTACAAATTAGATCAAATTAGACGAGCAGAGTGGAGTTAGTTCTGTATTTCACTTGAGCTTAACAGCTGGTTCTTCCTTCAGCTTCTGTCAGGTCTAGTTACCACCAGCTCTGAGAGTCGTCTCTAATTTACTGTCTACTTTCACATCAGAACAAGAGGTTAGGTAACATAGCTAATTGGAGTAAGATAAAAACATATGTAAAATACCAAGCAGTGAGTGTGGTTATACTTCAGTTCAGATCTAGTTTCTCTTGTTCACACAGTAAAAATAGCACCTAGTAAATCTCTCTCATGTAAGCTTAAGAGGGCTTATAGTTTAGAAGGCCTTGGTGTTTTTATTACCTTTCCAATTTAAAAACATCCTGGTATGATTTAGCACATTTCAACAAAAATGCATATTCTCAAACATTTTCTCTTCTTTCCTTCTACTTCAAAAGAAAAAAAAAAAAAAAGCTAAATTAAAGGAATTTTGGCCATGTCAATGTCAGGAAATGGAACCCAGGAGCCTAGGGAGTTACCTCACTTTAGGCTCACTAGAAAATTTGCTGGAAATCTCATTCTATTCCTCAACAAAACTTAAGTGCCCAGCCCGGAAAATCTCTAAATATCGAAGATCATTTTCGAATCTCATTAGGGATAACTCTCTCACCGCTCGCCTGTAGATGACAGTAATCTCATGGCTGCTTCTGTGGAAAAGGAACAGGCAGACAGAGTATAGGTCGAAGGGTTAGGGGTAGTGAGCAGACAGGAGTACAGTAAGACTGTAATCCCTTATACATGGAACAAGACAACTCCCCTTCCCATGAGTGTTTCTCTCCTGTGTATAGAAAAGGGAAGGGAACAAGATAAATATTTCTAAGAACTGGGTTGTTTTGTGCTGGTCTCAGCCTATGAATTGAGAGACCAAAAGAACCCCCAGACTGAAAACGTATTCTATCTAGGGAATCGGGAAACCGAAAGCTAACCAACTAGTTTCGCTTCTGTACGAACGCTTGCTTAACGTGCGCGCGGGCCCCCTAAACCAATCAGCTAACACCAAATATGCCTTTTTCAAACGTTCAAAATGTCAACCAATCGGCTCAGCCCCACCCAAAACTTGTTTGTACCTGTCTATAAAAACCCTGAACCTACCCAGCCCGGGACTTCTAAGTGTCACCAGTAACGAGTGAGTGGAGGTCCGGGTTCGAACCTGCAATAAACGACCCCTGCCACTTGGCTTTGACTCACGTCTCTGGTGGTCTTTTAAGGTGGGCTATTACTCATCCGGCATTGCATTTGGGGGCTCGTCCAGGATACCCCCCCTTTTCAAGCCCACCAGACAACTAGTCAACAGGTCGTTGGAAACCGATTGGTAAGAAAGCCGGCTTTGTTCCTGTGTTCTGTTTTTTGTGCTTTGTTCTTGTGTTCTGTTTTTGCGCGTTGTCCTTTCTGCGTTCTGTATCTGGGTTCGAGTCCTAGATCGAGGACTGGCAAATAAGCCCCTGGCGGACGTGCTATAGGACTGCCGGTGGGCCGACAGAGACGTCCCTTGTTGCCCAGCAGGGGCCTCTCAGGGATCGTGGGTTCGAGTCCCACCTCGGGGGCCATCAAAAGTGTAGTATGTCTCCATGTTGTGTTGTTAATTATGTGTTCCGTGTCCCTTGTGCCAGTTAACTAAGTTACAACAGTAGATGTGAAGCCTTTATTCTATTAAAGGGGAGGGTGTCCAACCTGTTTGAAGCTGAAGAGTGCCTGACTGTGCGAGTGTGCCTGTAGGCCCAACCGCTTCGGCTACAGAGTCTGAGTAGGCTGCACCCTGAGTCTCGCGGGGCGTCATATGGCATAACCGTCATCTACTCCACGGAGTAGCCTGGTGCGGGGTTTATACGGACAGACCTTAGCTAAGACGCTCCTAAGTTCCCGTGAGGGACGCAAGCAGGACAGCATCTGAGAGATCCCCCTCCCTTTGTCTGTGACTTCGTGCACGATGGGAGGGAAGAAAGACACTGGTATCTAAAAGTTGCATTCAGACTAAACCAGATTTAGTAACATGGGACTAAATGAATGTTATGTCTCCTAATGTTTTGTCTTAAACATTGCTGGTTCTCTAACGTTTGCCCCTCCAGGTTGGAGGAAACTTTTTCCCAAATTATTCGTGTCTCCTAACCTGTTTCACTTTCAGATTCACCCTGGCAGATGAAGGAGAAGAATTCCTACTCCTGCTGTTCGAGGATGGAACTCGCCTAGCCCCTACCTTCAGCCTTCCGAAGGCCATTATCCATCCCTTCGGGCTGACTGATCGGGAGCGCTCATCCTCACCCCGCCCTTTCGAATTCCTCACTTGCTCGGTCCTCTCGCAACACTTGCACCGGTGCCTCTGTTGCTTCCTTTCTATTCTAGGCGCCTTTCTCCTCGTTTTAACTATTTTCTTAATCTGGGAGCTACCTGGTCAAATGGGGCAAACCCAGAGTACCCCACTCTCCCTCCTCTTGGCTAATTTCAGGGACATTTGGGTGAGAGGCAATGACCTGAGCCTGGATATCCGGAGATCTAGACTCATCACTTTTTGCCGCTCCGAATGGCCAACCTACGGGGTGGGATGGCCCACTGAAGGCACCTTCTGTCTACCTGTAATCCTCAAGATCAAGGCCCAAGTTCTCCTACCTGGGAAAGAGGGACACCCAGACCAAGCCCCCTACATCCAGGACTGGCAAGATTTAGTGGAAAATCCCCCTCCCTGGTTGGCCCACTTCCTGTCCTCAGGAAGTTGCAAGATCCTTGCAGCCCGACCCACAGAATCCCCCAGACCTCGAAACCCGTCTGCGCCCCCTCCACCTGTCCTCCCTGATAGCCAAGACTTACTCAGTTTAGACCCACCCCCTTACCTACCTCCTCCCACAAGGCCCCAGGTTGCCCCCATGCCAATGGCCGCACCCCCTCTACCCCAGGCAGGAACGGAGGGTCGAGAGGCGGTGGCCGCAGCCCCTGTCCCCCACGGAGGGACCGACGGGCCTGCCGGGCACACTAGAGGGCGCTCTCAAAGGGAGAACCCTCCCTGCCCGCCGGACTCAACTGTTGCTTTACCCCTCCGGGAGACTGGCGCCCCCCCCGATGATACTGGCAATCCCCGACTCCAGTATTGGCCCTTTTCAACCAGTGATCTGTATAATTGGAAAACTTTTCAGATTTTCAGATAACCCGAAAGATCTTATAGCTCTCCTAGACAGCATCATGTTCACACACCAGCCCACCTGGGATGACTGCCAGCAGCTCTTGCGTATTCTGTTTTCCACCGAGGAAAGAGAGAGGATCCAGGTGGAGGCAAGAAAGCTGGTCCCCAAGGACGATGGCCGGCCAACGGTCAATCCAGACCTCATTAATGCGGGTTTCCCCTTGACCAGGCCTGACTGGGACTACAATGCGGCAGAAGGTAGGAGACGACTGCTCATTTATCACCAGACTCTAATGGCGGGTCTCAGGGCTGCTGTTCTCAAGCCCACCAATTTGACCAAAGTGTATGCAGTGATGCAAGGTAAGACAGAGAGCCCGGCAGCATTCCTAGAGAGATTGATGGAAGCCTTTAGACAGTACACCCCCATGGATCCCGAGGCCCCTGAGAATCAGGCAGCAGTAGTTATGTCCTTTGTAAACCAGGCAGCCCCTGACATTAAAAGAAAACTCCAAAAATTAGAGGATCTAGAAGGCAAGCAGGTTCAGGATCTGCTCCGCATAGCACAGCGGGTCTACAACAACCGGGACACCCCGGAGGATAAACAGCTTAAAGTGACAAAGGAGATGACCAAAGTCCAGGCTACCTTCTTCCAAAAGGAGTCAACCCCTCAAGGGGAATCCCAAATAGCCCGACAACCCAGACGTTCCCTAGATAAAGACCAATGCGCAAATTGCAGGGAAAAGGGACATTGGGCACGTGACTGCCCTAAAAGGAACCCTCCGTGGGCTAGGCCGCAACCATGGGAGCCAAAGCCCAACCCCATTCTGTTTACCCGGAACTCTGACTAGGGCGGACAGGGTTCGGATCCCCTCCCCGAGCCCAGGGTAACCCTACGAGTGGAGGGGAACCCCATACAGTTCCTGGTTGACACCAAAGCCCAACACTTGGTGTTGACCAAACCCCATGGAAAGATCTCGGATAAGTCCTCCTGGGCCCAGGGAGCCACTGGGACTAAAAAATACCCCTGGACCACTCAACGGACAGTGGACTTGGGCACAGGGAAAGTGACTCACCCTTTCCTGGTCATCCCTGATAGCCCCTGCTCCTTATTGGGGAGATACTTGCTCACCAAAATGGGAGCGCACGTTTACTTCCAACCCGGCAGTCCCATGGTGACCGACTCTCAGAACCTGCCATTATCGATACTTACAGTGCATTTGGAAGATGAGTATCGGCTCCACCAAACAGCACCCCCTCAGGAACAAAATATCAAGTCCTGGCTTCTCCGGTTCCCTGAAGCCTGGGCAGAAACAGGAGGTGTGGGACTAGCTAAGCACCGACCGGCCCTCTTTATAGAACTTAAACCTGGGGCTGACCCCGTCCAGGTCAAACAGTACCCCATGTCCACTGAGGCTAAATCGGGTATCACCCCTCACATCCATCGCCTCCTGAACTCAGGGGTGCTACGCCCCTGCCACTCGGCTTGGAACACACCCCTGCTGCCGGTACGTAAGCCCAACGGTGGGGACTACTGGCCTGTACAAGACCTGAGGGAAGTTAACAAGTGGGTTATGGACATACACCCTACTGTCCCTAACCCCTACACTTTCCTCAGTGCCCTGAGGCCTAACAAGAAATGGTACACTGTTCTCGACCTGAAGGATGCCTTTTTCAGTTTGCCCTTGGAACCCAAAAGCCAAGATCTCTTTGCGTTTGAATGGACAGACCCTGAGAAAGGCATAAATGGGCAGTTGACATGGACTTGAATCCGCAAGGATTCAAGAACTCGCCCACTCTGTTTGATGAAGCCCTCCACGAGGATCTAAGCCTGCCTTCAAGGAACCGAAAACCTCCTTCGGACACTTGGTGACCTAGGGTACCGGGCCTCAGCAAAGAAGGCCCAGATCTGCAAGCCTGAGGTAGTGTACCTGGGATACCTGCTAAGAGGGGACAAAGATGGCTCACCGATGCCTGCAAAGACACTGTGCTCCGCATCCCCCGACCTACCTCTCGTCACGCCAGGTAAGGGAGTTCCTGGGGACAGCAGGATACTGCCGACTATGGATACTGGGCTTCGCCGAGATGGCCAAGCCCCTGTACATAGCCTCCAAGAACCAGCAGAACTTTGAATGGACAGAGGAGGCAAAGCGAGCCTTCCAACAGATAAAGGAGGCCCTCCTCTCAGCACCGGCTCTGGGACTGCCAGACATTTCCAAACCGTTCCACTTATATGTGGATGAGCGTAATGGGGTGGCAAAGGCAGTATTGACCCAACACTTAGGTCCCTGGCCTAGACCCATAGCATATCTCTCAAAGAAATTAGACCCAGTGGCAGCAGGGTGGCCCCCTTGCCTTCGAATGATAGCGGCCACCGCCTTGATGGTGAAAGACGCCGATAAGTTGTCAATGGGTCAGGAATTACATGTGACCACCCCTCACGCTATTGAGGGCATCCTTAAACAACCTCCGGGCCCGTGGATGAGTAATGCTCGCATGGTCCACTACCAAGGACTGCTGCTAAACCCCCTGAGAATAACTTATACTCCCCCTCGGGCTCTAAACCCCGCATCATGGTTACCTGACCCGGACCTAGACACCCCCCTCCATGACTGCGCCGACATATTGGCCCAGGTTCATGGGCTGAGGGAAGACCTGCAGGACTACCCCCTGACGGATGCTGAGGTCGTTTGTTTCACTGATGGCAGCAGTTTCGTCCAAGAAGGACAGAGGCACGCAGGGGCCGCGGTCACATCTGAAACAGAAGTTATCTGGGCGGAAGCATTGCCTCCGGGCACCTCAGCACAGAAGGCTGAGTTAATCGCCCTGACCCAGGCCCTTAAGTTGGGGCAAGGCCTCCGGATGACTGTATACACAGACAGCCGATATGCCTTTGCCACGGCCCACATTCATGGAGCAATTTACAGGGAGAGGGGGCTACTCACCACCGAAGGGAAAGACATCAAAAACGGGGACGGAATTTTGGCCCTACTAACAGCCATCTGGGCCCCCAAGAAGCTAGCCATAGTACATTGCCCTGGCCATCAGAAACCAAACAATCCGGTCTCCTGGGGAAAAATTTTGCTGACCAGACTGCTCGCCAGATAGCCTACGGGAACATTCCAGTGCTACCCATACAGCTACCCAACCCAGGGCCCCGAGAACTGCCGCCTCGCCCCAAGTACTCTGAGGAAGACATCACCTGAATGAGTAAACTCCCGATGCCTCAGGTCAAGGATGGTTGGTGGCGGGATGCTAAGGACAACATCATCCTCCCCGAGGCCCTGGGACAGGCAGTCTTAGAGCGGATTCATCAAACGACCCATTTGGGCTCCAGAAGACTCCAGGACCTTATGAGGCAATCCAGGTTGATCATCAAAAACATCACCGAAAAAGCCGAAAGAATTGCCTCAGGTTGTATAGTCTGCCGGCTTCAGAACGCTTACCCACGCCCGCTGTGATCGGATCCCAAGAAAGAGGGACCCTGCCGGGGGCCTACTGGGAGATAGATTTTACAGAGGTAAAGCCTGGAAAATATGGCTATAAGTACTTACTGGTGTTTGTAGATACCTTTTCAGGATGGACTGAGGCTTTCCCAACCAAGCATGAAACAGCGCAGGTTGTAGCGAAGAAACTACTCGAGGATATTCTGCCCAGGTATGGCTTTCCTGTTATGATGGGATCAGATAATGGGCCAGCCTTCGTCTCTAAGGTAAGTCAGGGCCTGGTTTCCGTACTTGGGGTTAATCGGAAATTACATTGTGCATATAGACCCCAGAGCTCAGGACAGGTAGAGAGGATGAATAGAACCTTAAAAGAGACCCTTGCTAAATTGACCATGGAGACTGGCGCTAACTGGGTGGCTCTACTCCCCTACGCTCTGTATCGGGTACGCAACACCCGGTACAAACTGGGGCTCACACCATATGAAATCATGTATGGCAGGCCTCCTCCTATCATACCCAAACTCAAAACCGATCTCGTTGAGTAGGACCAGGATAACTCCCTCTTATTTTTCCTCCAAGCCCTGCAGCGTGTCCACAAAAGAATTTGGCCTAAACTGAAGGATTTATACGAGACAGGCCCGCCACCTGCATCTCACCAACACTGCCCTGGGGATTGGGTCCTCGTCAAGCGACACCGGCCTGAGACTCTTGAGCCTAGATGGAAAGGGCCTTACCAGATCATCCTGACCACCCCTACAGCTGTTAAAGTAGACAACATAGCCGCCTGGATCCACCACACTCAAGTCAAACCAGTCGACCCCCTGTCGGATCTCGTCGGGAAAACTAACCTGGACGCCAATTGGACGGTTGACCACAGTAAGGACAATCCCCTAAAGCTCACCCTGCGCCGAAACCCTCCCCCTCAGTAACCAACATGGGGAACCTACTCTCAGTTCTGATCTTATTATCATTGCCTTGGACCCCCATGACAAATTCCCCGGGCCCCAGCCACTCTAACCTGGCAAATCATTAATAGTGTAGGACTAACAGTTTGGAATATATCACACACTGCCACTCCCTACACATGGTGGCCTAACTTATATCCTGACATTTGTAAAATAGCCTTGGGGGCCCAAGCAAACTGGAACATAGCGGACCAGTGGGACCTCCAAAAGCCACCCACAATACCTGCCAGCGGAGGGTTACATGGTCACGCAATCTACGGTTGCGGAAATCCTCAATACAGATATAAGTTAAGAAAACTAACCTTCTGTGTA